CCTTCCTTGTACAGGTCTCAAACTTTGGCCCCCTTTCAACTGTGGCTCCACTTGGGGAACTAAAGGCGCATTAGACACGGCACTAAACCGGAGCAGGCGCTCCACAATTCAGCGCAATAAAAAAAAAGGGGGCTCTCTTTGTGCTTGGAGAAGTCAGTTAAAAGAGAGACTGACAAGACTCCTCTCTCTTTATATGAGCCCGCCTGTTTGGCTGCCTGCGCCAGGGGCATCATTCCCCCTTCTCTCGCGGAGCCCAGCTACTGGAAACTGTGCTTTCAAATAATAATTGTTAACTTGAGGGAGGGACCGGCCGGGTCTCCCGTACGGTCTGATAGAACGATGTGAGTGGATCATGCACTGAATTAATCATTTTTTAACACAAACGTCCGTGCGCTTAGAACGCAGCGTTGCGCACAAAACTCGAGTGAACTTTGTGCGTAAAGGACGCTTTTGGCGCAGCCAGCCTAGGGTTGTTTTTGTTTTTTCCGGGTGCACAACACCGACACGGGCTTCATCACTGACTAAACCTTGTTTATTACTGGGGGGTGGGGGGAAAAAAAGTGCAACAATAAAGCTCCTTTACCCTTGTACCGCATCTTCTCATCTTTGGCCAAAGTGACTGCAATTCGTAAGCCGATGCCGGAGGAGCAGCCGGTGATGAGGACAACTTTCTGCCCGCTGCACGCCATGATCTGTCCGCCTTTCTCTCTGCTCTCAGCGCCGTGTTCCGTGGCTGCGTGGCTGATGAGGGAGCACACCGATCACCGGACTTAAAAAAAAAAAAAAAAACCCAACACACTGTAAAGCTGATCATGCAACCGCTACAGCAGCAGCGACCAGAGCCATGTGAGCGTCTCAGTCACATGCTCGATAAAAAAAAAAAAAACAACAAATCAGCAGACGAATTTAAAGACGTTGGAATAACCCACCAACCAACCCCCCCGAGAGTTTTTAAACCTGGTTTGGAGCCTCCGGCCCCACGAATCTCACGTTAATTCGCTTTATAAACGTGTGCTCCTGGTCTCGCCCTTTGTGTATACGTGTGTGACAGCGTTTCAATGTTGGGGGCAGTGCTTATTTCCGATTGATTTTTGAGCTTGCTGTGACTCTTGATCGTCAACACTTCTTGTGAACACGACCCCGAGAGTGCAACTGAATGGAGAAACCGCTTAACTGTTAATAAGAAGGGAGTCCTAACACTTTTTTTTTTTGTTGGTATAATATACAAAGTACCGTTTGTGAAAACAAACTCAAAGGTCAAACTACAACGTCAATCATCGGTGTGATCAACGTGCTGTAACATTGTATGCTAAATATTACTCTCATAACAAGTGATTTCATGAATTGTTGGTTGGAAAGAAAGAGAATTTAGCTAAAATAAGCTAGTCCTGCGTTTGATAAAAGTTAGGAAACACTTTTTCCAATTCAATCGGACTCATTCACACTACTCTGTGTTGTATTCTAGAGTATTCTTGAGCTTAAGCTGACACTTACTAAAAAAAAATAAAAATAAAATCAATATTAGCCTGAAGTCGCTAATAACTAAAAAAAAAAAAAAAAAGTTAGAGGTTAAGCTGACCAACAATTACAAAACAAAAAATTACAGCATGAAATATTTTCAAATTAAACAAAATTAGCAGAACTTGCAAAACTGCTGATAGACATCTATAGTAAGTGTAGTGGCAAATTTGTTGAAAAAGATACAACTAAAAGTTTTGGCTAAAATAGCTAAAAATGTGAAGGTAAAAAAATGTTAACCAAAAGACTAATCTAATAAACTAATCTACTAAACAAGATATCCAAGTGGAGTAAAACCTAATGAAAATTTAACTCTTGCTAAATTCATAACCGGCTATTTAATTTTAACATCTCAAGCCGTTTTAACAACAGTTCCGACATGTTGTTTTTTTTTTGTTTTTTTTTTGCAATTCTATTCTGTATGTCTTAAAAATGGCCTAAAATAGTTCGCTAGTAATGGCTAAAACCAGTCAAAACAGCCTAACGACAAGCCAAGCTTGGTTTCAAATTTGCTTAAAAAAGATGCTAATATGTATCATTAAAACATCTAAAAGTGACTAAACAAACGTATCAAAAGTTATCCCACAAAGACATTAAAATACAGTAGCTAAATTTAGCACATGCAACATTTCCCCAATAGCTAGGTTAATGGCTTACATTTAGTTCAACTATCTGCAAGATGATGCAACAAAAGATATATAAATATGCATTGAAACCATCAAGCCGAGAAATAAAACCCTTTTGTACTGTTTTACTGTCGGTCTTCGTTACAGTAGTAGCTGAAACTAGCTAACTAGTAGCTACCAATACGAAAGAGAATTACAATATAAATAGAAAGTGCTAACATTTTACTAGCAACACCTACCACTAGTACTACTACCATTATTATTATAATTGCGGTTGTTGTTGTTATTATTATAAATATCATTATTATAACCTATCAACATACTTTTCTGGATCCACCTGTAACAATTCGAGGCGCAGCATTGCGTCGCCGTGCGCTGAAAAGACTGACCATATATGAAAACAAAAACGAAATGACGAGCTTCCGAATGGGTTGCGTTTTCAAGTGACTTCGAGATGTGATTGCATCACAGGACTAATCCAGTTATTACTTCACTTACAATAAAGATAAGGAGGACTGATTTAATCGACCGTGTTTTCTGTTTGTCAGCTGTTAACACTGGATTGCTGTCGATGGTGGATGTTGTCAGAGGTCAAAGTGCTGAAGATAAGATCTAGAACTAGGCTTTTTTTTCTTCCTTCCTTCATTTCTTTCTTTCTTTTTTTTCCGACAAGAAAGGACACAGTGCAAGAGTCTTCTGTGTGCGCCCATGTTCCAGAGTGTGGTGTAATACTGTCCAGAGTTAAAGGAACATCAAGTTCATTTTCAAAATTGCTCTCTCTCTCGAGTTATCTCAAGGAAATGCCTTAGTTTGATTGATTGATAGATTGGTTGATCGATTGATAGGTAGGTAGGTAGGTCGATGGATGGATGGATGGATGGATGGATGGATGGATGGATAGATAGATAGATAATAACACAGGAATAGAATAAACACAATAAAAACCGGAGTAGCACACCATCAACGAATAGGGAAGAACCTGAACAGTGGATGTTAGTGGATTTTAGTAAATAATATGAATATATAAATGGATATTAGTAGATTGGATTAGTAGGTCAGTAGGGTTAGTGGTGGGTTACTAGTAGTAAATAGTTGTATTAGCGGTAGTAGTAGCAGTACTGGGTTAATAAATGATTAATGATATTTGTTATACATACTGTATGCATACATAACACATATATACACATATACACACACAATACCAATATATTCATTATATATACACACATACAAATATGTACCTATATTCATATACATATACACACACACATATGCATGTGTGTAAGAGTATATACACATACACAAGCATATACTGTACATAGGGTATAGACAAAAATTACTAATGCCAAAAAGCTAGCATTTTGATATCTTGATATCTGACATCACTAATAAGATATTTTTGAACATGTTCAGATGGTTAAAATCACAACAATCAGATAATTTTGCAGTATATTGTTCAGATGTGGTGCTTTATGATTCCACGCTGAGTTGATGTAACACAGTGTTCCCTAACTCTTTTGGAGCTATAACACATTAGAAAAATCCTTAGGCAAACCATCAAACCAAAATGTCACAAAAAGTAAATGTTATGAAACAAACAAACAAAAAAAAAAAGATTTCCCAGTTTATATTTTGTGAAACGTAGGCATGTTCATTTGACCATAGCACTGATATACTTGCAGGGATTTAACGACTCACGATGTTCTTCAACAGCGCTGAGATTCTTTTTTTTCAGTTTATGTAGCCATCTGCTGCCACCTAGTGGAAAGGTATTTAATTGTTCTGCTGGGTGATATTGGAGAATCTCCGCACACCTGATGATTTCTCGCGGCAGGTGTGTGTCAGGGTCAAGTGGTTCAGAATCACTGATATACTGTAATCTCTCTTATACAAGAGGCTTCTTCAGTTCTTCCGTCAGTTTTTAAATCTAGCAAGAACAGAAAGAACAAACCTAATTAGAAAATGCCTCTTTTTATTATTGCCTTTCTGCTGATACGGTATTACAAGTATAAAACTATAAATACATATACAAAATATATATTTCTTGTATATATATTATATACGAGTTCTGTAAACCAAGGCATATTAAATAACATCTAATAAAGATAAACCAAGGCACACTAGCAGCAGTTAAAAAAAAAAGGGCAACGGCCTATGGCAAGATGCGACTACATTAGACTGATTAGTTAAAGTTTTCCGTTCATCTTAACGTAAACGGTTCGGTTATTTAGTCTAAAAATGCATTAATGCCACCATCATCACACACATGAGTTTTCCCCTGCTCACTGTGGTTGATGATTCGAAAGCAGTGGCCCCATTTCATTCAATGGTCATTTATCAATGACGATAAATCACTTTACATCAGGTGAGTCTGAATTATTAAATCACAAACACCAGGAATGCAACGCATGTCACAGAATCTTTTGTGAAAAAAAAAAAAAAATCAAACCACCCTAATCCAAACTGAACTGCTGAAATCTTCCACCAGAGGTCAATAGTGGTTTAGGTACTATGATTACAACACTCACGAGGTTTTAGAAAATGCAATAAAAGCTTTTTTTCTTGTTCTTGTTTCTTGTTTTTTTCTTGAGCTTTCACCTCTCCATAAATGGTTATCGCAGCAGTAGTTTTCAGAGTGTTGTGTTTAATGTTAACGTCAGCTATTTTGTCTGAAGCAACAGTGGTAATAGGTTTAGTAAGTAACCTTAGTTTTGGCCTGTGAAAAAAGATTTACATTAAAAAGGAACTCTAAAGGCTACAAATAAAGAGACATAAAACGAAAGGAAAAAAAATACTGATATGTGATTAATTTCAAATTTAGTTTCTCGCGTGTTTATAATATTAAGCTTTGGTTGTTCCAGATTCAATGTTTATTCAAAAATAAAGCTTAAAAAAACTTTTAAAAAAATCTACATTACATATCAAGATTCAAAGGAAAACATGCACAATTGCCCTAAATTTTATAAATATGTTTGGCCCGCGAGTACGTCTCAATTTTTAATTTTGGCCCACTGTAAACTTGAGCTTGACACCGCTGCCCTACACCAAACGCAAGTTTTACCCCGTCCCAAGATGGAAAATTAAAGTAGCGCTATGCCAGGGCTCGTGCTCCTACTGGGACACTTTATGCTGACGGACCAGGAAGTGCAGCGGTGCGACCGTGAGCATGTGAGTTAAGATTCTGCTATGGGTAAAATGGTGAAGCGGTAACGGTGGGTGCAACACTGTCGGATATGTTATTTAAATGGATTTTGTCGGCGACATGCGGGGTTGTGTTTGTTTGTGTACGGTGGTTTAACTTTACGCGGTTTAGTTATAGCGTGTCAATGGGTATGTCCGCAGTGCGTTATGGGTAGTGCAGTCTGTAACTTGGCGCCATTTCTACTGCTCAGAACGTCGGTCCCAGGTAAACAGAGAACAGTTAAAAAACGCCCATACTTTTTACAATTGAAGTTACAGTTTAGAGAATAATGTGAGTCGTCTTTAGTCATTGTTTAAAAAACGTATGTATAGTATTTGTGAAAGTACTCTCTCTAGTGGTACGCTGGAGGACATGTTCTTTTCTCTATTTGTTTTGTTATTATTTGTTTGTTCTCTATTTGTTTCTCTATTTTCTGTACACTGACCATTTTCTGCCATTCAAATAACCAATAATGATAATAATGCTAGTAGCAGCAGCTAGTAGCTAGTAGTAGTAGTAGTATTTAAGCTTGTATTCTCCTAAACAGCCACTACAGGTGTACTGACTACCTTTCTATTGGAGTGCAAGAAAATCAGGTTACTAATCTAGTCATAGAGAACTAAAAAAGGAAAAAGTCTGATTTTCAAGTCTGAGAACCTACACAGACATGTGTATTAGCTTTTCCTTTTTTATACTCATTTATTCAAATATCCTGTTCCTGGCAACAAAATTTGAAAACCTGAAAGTTTCATTTAATTTCTGCCAAAGACAAATGAACTCCACCTTCCTT